CCCCAAAACCCCAAAACCCCAAAACCCCAAAACCCCAAAACCCCAAAACCCCAAAACCCCTTAGGGTTTATAAGATTTTGAATTAGAGTTATGAAGCCTGCATTATTTTCTGATGCGCTGAAAGTTGAGGAAACTCTTGCCAAAGCTAAGCCGATCACTGAGTATAATCAAACAATAGAAGAGCTTGAGCAAGAGCATGAAGAAATTACAAGCAAACTTGATTGTGAAGCAGCCCTCCGTGAAAAGGGTTGCTTCATTCTTGATAAATAAGGCTGGAGATCTTTTGCTCCTTGCTTCTGAGCATGGGTTAATTAATGTGATAAAGTACTTAGTTCAGAATAAACTCACACTAAAATACAAAAACTATTTTGGAGATACATGTCTCCATTACGCTTGAAAGGGTTCTGATCCAAAAATGGTGCTATATCTTCTAGAGAAAGGGATCGACCCAAATATTCAAAATAAGTTTTTAGAAACTCCTTTATTTCATGCAGCTGAAGTTGGCAATCTAGACGTCGTCCATCTTCTAGTCCGATATGGGGCAGAGCTTGAGTTAACCGATAAATTCGGAGACACAGCTCTTCATTTCGCAGCAAGAGAGGGTTGAGTAGAAGTTATTGACTACATTGTCACAAAATGACCTGCACTTTTAACTGTTGAAAATCAAGAAGGCAAAAATGCACTTGCTTATGCCCTCGACAACTCCCAGACATCTGGAGCACAAGTGATGAAATTAAAAGGATGTAAGGTAAAATATGGTAAAAGAGAAGACAAAATTCTCGAATTGGCAAAGAAGCTTATGGATGAATCTCCCAATCACAAAAAGAGTATTTTCAAGCATGTTCCCACAAAAATAACAATCTTTGGTGAAAAGTTAAATCGTGAAAAACTTGAAGAGGAAAGAGCCAAGCGCCGTATGAATGTGTATCAAGCGAAGATGGCTAAAATGAAGGTTGAGAAGGACAATGAAGAATCTAAGGACTAAATTTCAACCCCCCTAAATATACAGGGGTTTTGGGGTTTTGGGGTTTTGGGGTTTTGGGG